GTGCAGACTGCATCGCCTCCGGGTCCTGACGTCCGAGCGCTGGACGAGCAGGCCCGGCAGCCTCGACGTAGGCATGCCTACCTCAACGACCATCCTGTTCTCCGCCGCTCTGGCCACTCCAAAGGCCATAACTACCGCCGGCACCGCCGGCATGCCGACCATTTGAGCCGGTACAAACAGCTGGTTTACTCGGACGATTTGCTCAACTGTAGGCTCGTTATGACCTCCAAAAGTCGCTGTTCAGACGCCGCCGCGCCTTCTTCGGAAGTATCCAACCACGCTAAAACGAGACCAGGCTTCGAATATCTCCAACCCTTTCATGGCTCTAGTCTAAACATGAATCAGACGGAGGCTAGATCCAACAGTCGTTTTGATCTGGTCCAAAGACGCATGGATGCGAGGTGGCAGGTAGGCTATTTTGATCCACATACAAATGAGATCAACTATTGCTTTTGAGTGAAAAAGCAATTTTGAGATATGAAGAGTAACTGGGTTCCGAAAAATCCTGTAGCTTTCATTTCATTCGAGCAGGCGGGTCGAAAGGATTCGTGAACTGGCCGCACCGGATACCGCGGAATGGTCTTTTTGGACGGACATCGTCAGAACCCGAAACCATTTTTCACAAAAAAGTCACCCGAAAAAACACGAAACTCAGAAATGTGGCCAGCTGAGAAGCTACTTACTTCCGAGACTTCACTTTGCGATCTTAACGAGGCATTGCATAGTTGGCTTGGCTCTTTTATGCTTGTCCTAAATGCATGTAAGCGGGTCAAAGTGATGCAGGAAGGGGGGCGGATGTGGTCACAACTTTTGTGTATGTAAATAAACTAGCATATGATCCGGTAGTCCTGGCTCTTGTTACAGCTTCGTGGGTGCGTGTTTGCGTGTGTATACAACAACCACGAGTTGGTTGACAATTTTCTGTGCAATACATGCTCCAGCTTTGTCTAGTCCTCTCCTCTGACTCAGTAGCTCTTCCTGTACGTTTTCTATCTCTCTCTCTCTCCCCCTTATTTTATGTATCAGCCAGAGGTAGTTCTTACTTATTCAGGATGTTGTTTGTCTAGTTACTTTCAATCGACTCCCTTCCTCATCTTCGCTCAGCTGTGAAGTACCCATATCCGGCAAAATGTTGGGATGCGGACCACTCGATCTGTTGTCCTGTAGCGACCACATGTTCAGCCACTTCCGTTTTCGGAATCCACAAACCTTTGTAAGCGGTTCTGTGTTCCGATAGCCTCTTTTGTAGGGTTCGACGGGCCTCCATCACATGAACACTACCGCATGAGCATAAAACCTTATGACAATCCGATCTGCAGAGAGCGTCTGAAGATCGAGGAAAGCGTTGTTTTTTCTTTATACATTTTTTCGACAATCCATTTCCTCAATAATTCACCTATCCTTCTTGAAAGCCTGCAGGATGGTAGCATTAGAGGCCTGGCCGAAGAGTTGTCTAATTCCTTGTTTTGGCCAAAATATTGGTTTTACTTCACCCTATTTCTCAATATTTTGAAATTGCTAACAATTAATCCTACAGGATAAGTGTTTACTAAGATTTTTATTACCATCCCTAACTCCTTTTCTTGGTGATTTACGTCCGCTGGAAGTAAACTTCTTATTATCATTGATTTCATGACGCCTACCTTAACAATATAAGTATTATTCGAAAAGAAATTCAGAATAAAATCGGAATTTGTTGGTTTCATATAACTTATTCCCATTTTATAGCTCCATGGTGAATTTAGTCGCCTTATCTACTCTATTCATTAAACCAAAGAAGTCATCCCAAAACTCTTTTCCATGCTGCCAGATAGCAAAGTAATCATCCAATAGTTTCGGCACTATGAGTGACTCTTGAAAAAGACGGACTTCCTATTAAGATATGTAGTTTTTAGCTAAAAGTGGAGGCGAACACGATCTCATGGCTAACTATCCTGTTTGTTCGTATAATTTACCATTAAAGACAAAATACGTACTACTCATTATTAAGTTCGACAATCGCATGATTGACTCCTTGCTCATCCTATTTCCTGATATTATCTCTGGGTGTAGCTCTAAGGTTAATCCAAATACACAAAACCACCCTTGTTATTTACAATGATCCCAAGTGGGACCCCTCTTGGAGGATTTTTGGCAGATCATATGCATTAGAAGGTCTAGCGACACTGGAGTAGTGCATTCACTTTCCATTTATCCAAATCTTTTCTATTAACGCACACATATGCACACCCTCAGCAAAAGTAGCAGGACCAGTATGAAATATAATTGGCCAAACCACTTTATATCTATCTATCTGGGTTTTTAATTTTCTTTTGCCTTAATTCAGTCTATGTAAGAAGTAAGATGTAGCCCTAGTGTTAGCGTTAGACTTTTACAGGAATAAGATCCAGCTCTGATGATGTCCATCTTTTGATGGACAAAAGCTCAGCCCGTTTTCACCCGAAATGAGGGAACAGGTCTCGTGGACTGCGTCAAACTGAACGTCGTATAAAAGCCAAACGGCTGCAGTACAACGGGATTCATCCGTACTCTTCTGGTGAAATCGACCTACGAATCTCTTCTTCATGCACTTTCATACGAAGTGAAACTCCTACTAAAAATTTAATCTTACGAAATTCATCTCTTCGTATCTGCTCGTTCATTAATCTTATAAAGTCATACGAATTCTTTATTGAAAATTTCCAAAAACCTGACATCCGTTTTCATTGTCCACAAAGGAGTCGTGATGTTTCATACATAAAACCACCCTTGTTATTTACAATGATCCCAAGTGGAGCCCCCTCTTTTTGGCTTTTGGGCAGACCATATGCATTAAGAGGTCTAGCGCCACGTTGGAGAAGTGCATTCATTTTCCATTTCGCCCATTCTCCATTAGTAGCGCATGGTTGCAGGCAACTCTTAGATCTCGACTTTAGTGTTTCTACAGGGTCCTTAGTTATAATTCTATTCGTATGAACATCAGCTAAAGCCAGCATCATCTTTTCTAGTTAATCCGCTCCTCCGTTGTCTGCCCTTAAAACTATTTGCTCGTGTCGTCTAAGCTTCTTTGAGATATTAGTAACATATCCGTTCTTATTTTGTGGTTCTACGTGGTTATCAATTAGAGGGACAACCTGAATTGCAATCTCACTTCTAGTTTCTTCTGCTAATCGGTCAGTAAAGTTAATAACCTCTACTAAAATATAATCAGTGAGACTCTTACTATTTGGCAAAGCATAATTAGGACCTCTAAATAGAACTTCCTCAGAAGTACTGTCCAATGTTGCTTTGGGCGCGTTAACCACTTTCCGACCTATCTTCATTTTCTCTTCTCATGTGGATGAATTCCGAATGTTATTTACATATCTAATTCTAATCCATAGGTTCTTAAATTTCTTATCGTGACTCTTCCTTACCTGACGAAATACTACATCATATAATTTGTCAGCCATCGATTGAAGCTTCAGGAAATCCTCAAGGTATCAGACAAAATTTGCCTTAGTCTGGTTTTTTTCGGAACAAATTATGCAATCCAGTAATGCTTTAAAGAAGTGTTTCCCTAATCAAATAGGTTTTTTGATATAAATATTGTCACCCATCTTTAGCAAATTTCCATTTATATGCACATATGACACCGATTTGGCACCATTTGCAAAAGCCCATAGAGTCAATGGCTCTTATGCATTCATGAATGGACACTATTCTAATCTAAATCTCGCAAGAATTGAACGGTCCTCACATATTCACTATTTGTATTAACAACAGCACACTGGCTTTGGGTAGAAAAGGGAAAAAATACAATTTGTGTCCCACTTCGTGAGACAGCTCTAAATTGAAACGTGAAGGGAATTCGTATTCTTTGGCTTCCTTTTCGGTGAAAATGCGATTCTACATGCTCATTATCGTTTTACTGCCTTTTTCCGTTTTTTATACAAATCTTTACGACAATCCTTCTATGAGCCCTTTTCTTATTTGCTTTATTTCTGAACTATTCTAATTTAACGCTATTATCCTACTGCTCATTTATAACCGAGAGGTTGCACTATGGAGCCGTCTCACTAACAGCCTTGTCTGCATGCGATGGACGAGATGATGAAGGCCTCACTTGTGGTCTTATCAAACCAAATCCCTCGACTGGATATCTTTCAAAGCTAAAATCCTTGTAGTCTATGCTGACTGTGCTCTTGGTTAAGAATTACTGATCATTTTCAAGCCTAGTCACACAAGATACGACTTTCAACAGACACATGCTATTCATAGTCGTCACGAGCCTGCCCTTCTTCATTTCCTCCATCATGGGAACTCGGTCTATTTATGACGGAGGATGCGCCATTATAGGTTAAACTTTCATATAGTACCAGCCCGTGAGGACACCAGTTTATGCTGAAGGCACTTAATTCGCCGGAGTAGGCTTTTGATACGATGAAGAATAGTGATGAACATGAGCCTGACTAAAGATATGAATATGAGATGTATTTACCCTATTTAGTTTAAGGTGATGAAGGACTGGTAGTCGAATTTTCCCAAAATCATATGAGTAGAGCTGACGTCTTCATTGAATTTCACATTGCCTGATCACCTTAAACGAAATAGAGTGAATACATCTTATATTACTCATTTACTGGTAGTCTTAAAATGCTACTTAAATGCGAAAAATCAGTAACGTAATAGATTGGTATAGCAAATATACGTTTGATTCATCGACAATCCCATTAAAGAAGGTTATATGACAAAAGACCTTGCCTTCCTTGAAATTCACATCTGCTCTGTGAGCCAAGAGCATTTGTGGCAATGTGACGTGGTGGTTAGTGTGTCAAGATTGTACTCTGCATTGTCATGGTTCGAGTCCGGCTGGGGGTGTCGATAGGACCGATGCAAAGTCGAAAGTACAGTCCACTTCAGCCTGGATGAGAACAACTTTTGGGAAAGCAAGGCAATGTGAAATTTAATGGAGACGTCATTGTGGGAAAATTCTACTACCAGTCCTTCATCACCTTAAACGAAATTGGGTGAATACCTCTCATATTACTGATTTACCGGTAGTCTCGAAACTCTACTCAAATACGAAAAAAAAGAAGATATGAAGACCAAGATGGCGTGGCCTCTGGTATGGTCGCAATCTCCTTTCGATTTATAGTAGTGGGTTGACCTCGTTGTCGCAATTTGGTCTTGTTGTCATGGCAAATTAGTAGAA